CAGAAAAGGCAAAAGCTTCAAAAAAAAGTGTGAGTCTCATTAGTATGTTTCTCTCCCCCAAATGAATCACTCTCTAACAAAACAGTTTACATTACAACAGGCAGGAGGAGAAGAAAAACAGCAGAAACATGGCAATGGCAAACAAAAGACCAGGAAGTGAGTCTCGTTTAATCTCATTACCCTAAAGTAATATTTACCCTTCTTGTTTTGTGCCTAACATAAATAGCCTTCTCTCTCTACTGTTTTTCTATTCCAGAAAAGGCTCGTTCAGATAACCCGAGCAATAAAATTAGCTACCAAGAATCAAAGGTAAGTAAAAAAATACTGTTCCAGCGCGATAAGATGAGTTGTAGCTAAGACATCTTTTACTGTGTTGTGCTATGTTTCACCCTCTCAGAAAAACGAAGAAACCAGGTGGAGGTAATGACAAGAAGCAGAGAGAAAAGGCAGAACTCTACTCTCGTCCCCTTTATTATGTCTTCACATGTCTTCCAGGTCGAGCAGGAGTCATGGAGGAGGATTGTCTGGCTCCAGATGTAGAGAGAGACGATTCGGTTTGAAAAGAGCAGTGTTATTGGTGTACACGACATGATATTATCACAGTCGGCATTGAACTAAGTGCTCACACACAGCACAACAGAGGACTCAACCTTCAAACCTTGGACATTCAAGAAACTCATGAGGTAGCAAGCTACCAACAAAAAGCCAAAATGCTGAAGAATTGCAGTATAATCAGGGAGGGGAGCACGTTGTAAGAATATCTCTAGTGGAAAAGAGACCATCAACGAGGGTGATGCGCTAGGAAGAGATCTGGAACTATGCTAGTTCCAGTGACTGACTTTGATGACACACACAAACGTGGCGACCTTGAACCGGAGGCAAGCGACCATTCGAAAAAAGTGGCTCGTCCTTGGATTCGAAAGCTCACTTCGAGCTCTTCCAGGTCATTGATTACTACAGCCCCCCCCCCCCTCAAAAACCTTGTTTTATTCGTGAACATGAAGCCTCTCTCGTCCCATCCCCGGGCACTCCATTTCCCCAAAAGCCCAGAAAACCAGGTATTTACCCACTATGACCCTAAAATATACCCAACCTCCATTGCGTTTCGACAAATAATTAAAAGCCAAACCCATACCCACCCTAACTGCTCTCTTTTCCAACGGGCTTATAGATGTTAATGAAAGCACGCTCTCTGGGCATTTTTATATTCCAGTCCTGATGGAGGAACCTACACGGATTTCTCGAATCAACAGAGGCCATCTCTTGCACTGTGCTGTGAAATAGGCTGGTGTTGGTGGGACTGAGTCTGATCTTATATCGAATAGGTTCGAATTCGATTTGATTTGAGTGTGGGTTAATGTGATTCCTCGCACATCATAATGGGGTCTCGGTTTTAGGTTGGGTTAATGGACAGTTATGGGGTCTGCTCTTTTGCAGGAGAGACGTTAGGGGTTAGGTCCAAAGTGTGCCTTGGCATTAAATTTCAATGATTTCATCGCAGCCTTTAGATTTCAAAAAGAGACTGCCTAGTTATTTGCTGCTAGTTTCGTCACGCCTGCCTGGTATACCATCTCTAAGTAATTGTCAAGCTGCAAACGATAATTGCTACATAAAATCTTCTGCCAAACAATGAATCGACTCTGCGAGCCATTCGTGCAGTTTCAGGTGCTTTTGGCAGAAAAAAAGTCATCTGCCAGAGACAAACACCCCCTGCAGAAAAAAACACCTCCTGCAGAAAAAAACACCTCCCGGCAGAAAAAGCCATGCCGGCTTTCGGAACTGCAGAGTTCGAGGGCTTCTGCAGAGTGCACGCCAGCCTGCTTCAGGAAAAAAAGTGTTTCTGCGGACTCAAAAAGGGCGTTTCTGCAGAGTTTTTCATTCCCAGTGCAATGATTTTGATCAACTTGGCACGGCTGTCACCCCAGCGGCGCTTCACTTCATCAGCGGTGATGGCACCACCTGGCATCTTTTCGAAGGAACAATCCAAGGCTTCAGAGAAGTAATCATGCAAATCAGGTAAGCAACGTGAGAATACTTTGTTGTTCTCATCGTTGTACAGTCTGGCACAAGCCTCATAGACTGTCTCAGGCCTGTCCAACGAATTCCTTGCATCTAACTCATCTCTTTCCCCCATCCTGTGCATCTCCATGAACAGTGGACGGATGCTGTCATTGAGCATGCACTCGATCAGACGGATGTAGGGTTCTGCGGTGACCCAAGGAGCAGTTGCCTTGGTCTTTTCCTTCGAGTTTTCCTGACTGACTCTTGTCACAAGATCAAAGAGCTTCTTTTCTGCCGCAATTACAAAGGCCCTGTCGCTTGCATTGGTGAGTGGATTCCTCTGGAGCCAGACAAGACATTTCTTTTTGTCCCAGTGGCCGCACTTTGGGTGTTCAAGATGGCCATCCACAATACAACGACGCTTGATTTCCTCAACCATGTGCTTCTGCGTGGGTGTTACCTTTTTCTTCAACTTCATGGAACGATAAGGCTCCTGCTCCACGTTGCCAATCTCACGTAAGTCAGAAGTCTTGAGGCCGATTCCCATCGTCATGAGATCAGCTGTAAACTGACCACTGCACTTGTAATACCTTTCAGTAGGACCGACAATGACGCCATCAGGGTGCACAGCTCCTAATTCGGCGTAGGGTATGTCAACATAACTGCGGCCATTGGCATTGGGGGCATTATCTTCTCCAGCGTGCCACGATGGAGGGATCCCCATGTCCAGTGCAAGTACATTGAACCGGCCAGACAATCGCATTGGCTTCAGACCAAAGCGATAAGGTGGAGTGGCTTTCTTGGTACGTGCCATTCTGTTGTGAAATGGTTGGCTGGTAGCTGCAACAATGAGATCTAAAACCTCAATGTTGTCATTGTTTGCTTCTTTCTATTATTTTTGTCAGTGTTGGTGGCAGCATGTCGAGAATGATCCCCAAACCAGTCAAGTTGGGGTCTGGAGAGCCAATCAAACTGGTGGTTGGAACCAAAAACCCATTTCGGCCTTGCGCAAACCAAGCCTCCAGCCGTTTGCCCAAAGCCGAAATTGGTTGTTGCGCAAAGGCCTCTTTTGGGAGTCATTCTGGCGAGGTCACCTCCAAAGAGCCTCCAATTTCCGATTTTGCCATCCTACCGGAGTTGTTGAAACTGGGCCTTAGGCTACGAGATCGACTGAACAGGAACTGGCATGCCCACAAGGAACGTCCTGACATGTGTCCAAAGGAGAATTCGGTCAAGGTTATTTATGTTGACAACTGCTGCAATGTCCGGAGAACACTATTGAAGATCTTCGGAGCTGGTGTACTGATCCTTCTTGATCCGTTCCATTGGCTCAAGAGATGGAATGAGCTCCTTGTGGATTCCTCTTCGCTCCAAGCTGGCATTTTCAGGGGGCTAATGTCAAGGGCGCTCTTTGTAATTACACCAGGTGAATTTCAAAGAGCCAAGGACAAGTTAGAGGACAAGTTGAAGCGGGAACCAACAATGAAGGAAATCAAGAAGGAGGCAACTCTATAATTCCACCACCGGCAACACTTCGAAGCAATGTGGAGGCAGTGTTGAATTATGTGCAGAACAAGGACACCGAAACTCACAGACTGCTTTCGCAAAGACGGGAAGACGACACTTCTCCAAGGCCTCGCATGTTTTTAAAGCATTGGAAGTTCACCGACCTTGTCAGAAAACAGATGGTGCATGTGGATAATGGATGTCTGAGCGACCCACCAAATGAGCTAGTCAACATCTTTCGACGCAACCCAGCAACTGACACTACCTATGTGGCGAGGGGAACCAACACCAACGAAAGGTGACAACCTGGACTTGGCATTGCTGCTTCTAGCGATGTACATAGGTAAGCAATGATCCAGTGACAAGATATCGCGCTTCAACAGCAATGCATCTAACCATTATCCAGGAGTACACAGGGGCGAAAGAATTATGTGCAGTTTCTTTGAAGAAAGGAATGACAGGAAGGCTGTTATCCGTCTTGGTGGAAAGGACTACAAAATTCAGAATACTGAGAAGCTTCTACTGTTGAACGCGTATGCTGCCAAGGTTGGTTTTTCCAATGCTCCATATTCCGTTGGCGCTCCGAAGAAACCTAGTGACTACCCAAAGGAATACATGGGTTTTACTTATGCCGCTATGCCTGAAACAGTGGATGTGTCCAATCCTACTGATGGCGCCGCAGAAGGTTACCAGTCAGGTGATGAGGGAGATGAGCAAGTCGCTGATGGGGCAGAGGAAGAAGAGCAAATACCAGAGCAACAGGAGGAGATCCACCGAGTTCTTGGTGGTCAATTGGGCGATGACATGGACATCGAAGTTTTTGGAAGCGAAGAAGAGTTATTACAGGCAACTGCTACGGCAAACACCCAACAGGCTCGCCGACAGGTGGAATTGAGCGATGCTGAAGAGCAAGCAAGGGTTAATGATGCCGCCAATCGAGACCTCATCTTGCATGAGCTCAATCGATTGTTGCCAACAAATAATGAAGGAGAATCCACTCTGGATGCCTTTCGACGCCTCAGCAACAAGTGTGAGTGGCTTCCATTTCGCTCACCAGACAGTTCAACAGAAGCCAATGACATCGACAGAGCAGAAGCTGAGCTATTCGATGACTGGGTTTCAAGGTATGATCGAGCTGCACAGACAGGCCCAAGGAGTTTCAAGACCTTTGAACGCGACTGGAATAATGAGGTTGCTCACCGGTTCAGACTTTGGACCACCGATGGCGACCAATCCGGTGTAGTGCAAACAAGATACAAGAGCCGCTTTTTACTTCAACAACACTATGATAAGGTGCAAGAACTGAAGAGCCTTGCAGCAGCGCCGGTGAATGAAGAAGAGAGGCAAAGACTGGATAATCAGCTTCAGCAAAATCGTCGGAGCATTCCTGCCGCTGCAGAGCCACGAATTCGCGACACACAAGTTCCTCAATACAACAACACCGGCACAACTCCATTCGGAAACCCAACAACTTTGAATGCTGAGGTTGCTGTTGGCGCTCTTGCACTAGCAGCAGTAACTGGAAATCTGACACCTGTTGTTGCCAATGCTGCTTACAGAGTTGCTCTCACTGCTGTGCCAACCACTGCACCAGAAAGACCAAGAAGGCTCATTTTCAGGAGCAGAAAGTATTGCAACACATGTGGTTTCAAGAAGAGTGACCATGTAATAGCTGTTGAGGGAGTTGCCAAAGATTGCAAGAGAGACTACTGTGGCAGATGCATGGAGAGGAAGCAGTTTCATGGACCGAATGATGGCTTTGGTCCTACATGCAGCAAGGAGATCCACAGCAGACAAGTTTCTACAGTTGCTGAATGGTACCAAGCTACTGTAAGTTTCACTTGACTATTGTTACTTTAACTCTAGTTGGATAACAAACAACAACAAGTCTTACAGCTGTTGCTTCCTTTCTTTTAAACTCTCTCTGAACAGACATAAATCAGTCAAGGTGCATTGGGTAAGAATAGCCACCATGATGAAGAGTGAATGCAGCCCTGTGAGAAATGTACTGCTCACTACTGATTGCCATACCACTTAGGTTGTTCTTGTGCTGGCTCCAGCACTCTGTGTCAAACCACTCTTCCCACTCTGTAAGTAACAAAGACTTGACTTCAATGTTATCTCCACCAATACCATGTTGGTACAGGGCACCTCTCATAAGTGGTTTGATTGCCTCTCTGCACATCTCTTTCCTTGTGACAGGTACATGCTCATACACTTCCCATGCCAGCTCAGACAAGACTTCACTGTACCATTCATTGCTGTGCCTGATACCCCACACAAACATCTGCTCCAAGAGCCAAGTCTGGTCAGGAGTCATTGGCAGCGCATTCCCTTCCATGATGAGTTGCTCAAGGATGCCACTTGAAAGGTATCTGGTCTTTACAAGATAGTACTGGGTTCTATTGTCTTCCCTGTCAGTTTGATCCTCGAGCAAAACATACTTGCATACATAACTCTGCCTGGTTTTCCTCATCTCATTGTAAGGGTAGCGATCGTTAACATCTAGCCACTTTTTAAATGCATGACTAGCACTGAACAACATGGTGATATAGTAGCTTTGCTGTTGTGGAATGTAGCTTTTCAATGACTCGACGACGTTCGCGAACTTGGTACGGAGACGAAAATGTGAGCACTAAGAGAAGAGGAATTCTGCATGAGGTACGTTGCACCTCTGCGAATAAGTCTTCTATTGTTCCACAAGACTCCAACGGTCACACGAGATTTAGACTCAATTTTTGAAATTGTCTAAGTAAGTGAGCTACAGTACAGACTTTGATAGTAAAGTGGTCTTGTATCATATTTCAGTACTCGTTCTCCATAACCTCCACTCGCCAACACCAAGGTGAGACAGTGAGCTGGGAGTGGAGGAAGACTGAAGGAAGACTGGATGCTATGCCTCTGACTCGAACTCGTCTACTGTACTACTGTACGCTGAGTACCCAGCATCACTGGACCACTGAAACCCAGCATCACTGGACCACTGAAACTCGAAGCTCACTTGACGACTACACGTGTACAGCTGTAGCCAGAATGGTAGACCAAGCGGGGGCTCTTGCTGGATGATGGCTCAGAAAGCACTCAACGCAGTCACATGTTTTCCACTGGATCGCTCAAAGAGTTTACAAAACGAAGGACTGAGGACTGAGGTGGTTCCTTTGGGTTTTACCTCGGCAGTCTTGCTGCCAGAGCCCTCAACCCCTTTAAGTCAGCGGGAGCTGCGATACCTCGGCAGAAAGACAAATAGAAGGAGGATCATGTTTGCGATTGCACCGTTCTTTCAAAGCACTACATGTAGCTAGCTAAGCACTGGAGGTATCGGCTTCTAGCTAGCTAGCTAATAGGGGTATCTGCTTCTACACTGAAACCTTTCTGCCGAGGTTACACAGCTCCGCTGGCTTAATCTGAAATAACCTCATTTAACAATAATAGAATTCTATTTTAAAAAGGCTACTCTGAGTACATGTACGACTGTCCACCGTGCCGCTACCCCAAATGGGTACCCGTAAAAGTGATTAGTTGAAGCGGCTCCAGAGGGGAGAAGGAGAGGGGGTTAAGCTGTTGGACAAGAGCATCTAGTTGCACATGTTTTGAGTTGTGGACCCGTAAAGTGATTAGTTGAGGGCTCAAGAGGGAGAAGGGAGGGTTAAGCTGTCTGGACAAGAGCATCTAGTTGCACATGTTTTGAGTTGTGGTACCGTAAGTGATTAGTTGAGGGCTCCAGAGGGGAGGAGGAGGAGGTTAAGCTAGTCTGGACAAGAGCATTAGTTGCACATGTTTTTGAGTTGTGGTACCCGTAAAAATGATTAGTTGAAGGGGCTCAGAGGGGGAGAAGGGAGGGTTAAGCTAGTCTGGTCAAGAGCATCTAGTTGCACATGTTTTGAGTTGTGGTACCCGTAATGATTAGTTGAAGGGGCTCTCAGAGGGAGAGGAGGAGGGTTAAGCTAGTCTGGACAAGAGCATCTAGTTGACATGTTTTGAGTTGTGGTACCGTAAAAGTGATTTGTTGAAGGGGCTCCAGAGGGAGAAGGAGGAGGGTTAGCTAGTCTGGACAAGAGCATCTAGTGCACATGTTTTGAGTTGTGTACCGTAAAGTGATTAGTTGAAGGGGCTCAAGAGGGGAGAAGGAGGGAGGGTTAAGCTAGTTGGACAAAGCATCTATGTTGCACATGTTGTTTTGAGTTTGGTATACCCAAAAGTGAAGTAAGCTCCAGAGGGGAGAGGAGGAGGGTTAAGCTAGTCTGGACAGAGCATCTAGTTGCACATTTTTGAGTTGTGGTACCGTAAAAGTTGTTAGTTGAAGGCTCC